CCCCCCCCCCCCCCAAAAAAAAAAAAAAAGGCGAGACACTGGTGGTCAAGCACACTAGCCAAAAGAAGTGAAAAAGGTCAAATGTACCAGTGCTAGTCAAAATGTTCAATGGCATTTGGAAGGATAGATATAAGATCACTATACTGTGTCAGCAATAGCCAAATAACTAGGGAAAAAAAAAACAAAGGAACTCCAAAGCTACTCTGCTAGTAAGTTGGAGTAAACCAACAACGATTGCTAGAAGCATCACACTGGAGATAATAAAAGAATGGCTCTGTAGTAGCCTTTCTTTGGAACACTGAGCTCGACAAAATTCATTACAACAGAAGATCAAACAAAGGTCCACAGGTTTAGCTTTTTGTTTTGTCACTATGAACCACAAGATCACATAACAGTTTAAGTGCTCAAACATTTTTTCAGACTACTTAGTCTACAGTGGAAAAACCACACCAGATATACGAAAAGAAGATTCAGTAATCTGTCTCCAGAAAACTAATTAGAAAGCCCAATGTGTGCATGTGGAACATACAGGCACTAATTCTTCAACTGAAACTAAAATGTGATGAAGGCATAACTGAAACAAAAACTAGGGATTTTGTCCAAACCGTCAGAACTCAAGCAATCAGTCAAAGAACCAAAAAGCATAATGAAAACAGACAAAAAAAAGCAGCCACATGAAGAAATTGGGTAGCAGAAACCAGTAAAGCTGCAGTTGACCTCATCCTCAAGCCATCAATTTGATGCTTAAGCAAAACAAGTTCATCTCTGTAGATTCTAAAATGGAACTAAACAAGTGTAGTAGCAAAAAATTCCCACCTAAATTCTTGAATCAACTAAACAGCTAAACCAGCATATCCTACTTTACAAAGCAACCAAGCAACCATATACAATTTTAATAGGCAAAAACAATAAAACCCACTAAATGATCGAAATCAAACTAAAAACAGAAGACATCCATTTTACCTCTATGGCTTTGCTTGGCGCAACCCGAATCACATTAACAAAATTGCCCCTAAATAATCCTTTCCACCCATCAGTCTTCATGATATCATGGAACACCTCAGTAATAGAATGTCCACTACTTCCAACCATCAAATGTGTCCTAATTGTCTCCAATGGAGCAACAGCAGTTCTAGAAACTGCCCCAGCAATCGCTCCACTTATCAACCTCCTCAACGAAGGGTTTCCAATCTTCACCTTCAATTTAAGCCCACCTTTCTTCTTCTTCTTCTTCACACTCCCTTCCTCTTCTGGAACACCCACAAATTTAAAACCCTCTGGCGATGACAAATACTTCACAAACAAATCAGTGTATGGAAGCTTCAAGCCACCATTATCGTCTCTTGAATTGGGCGAATTTGGTGAAACTCCAAAACCCATGTTGCCCATTTGACCCACACAAGCAAATAAGCCACCAGGGTGGAAATTTCCATCTTGGAGACTCCATTGAAGTCTCAATTGAGAGTCGGAGAAAAAGCCATCTTTTCTGCCCTCCAAAACTTGCGTTTCTCTTCTACCCATTACTCAAATCCTCAGAAAAAAGCTTTGTATAAGGATTCAGGAAATACCCCCAATGCAGTAATCATGTAACCAAGCAATTTGGTATAGGGAAAGAAGGACAATATTCCATTTTGGCCAAATGGGTATTAGAAAAATGCATTGTGGGGCATAGGATGAGCAGTGTTGAGATTTTGAGTATATGGAATTTTATTTGGGTTCTGAGTAGAGAATGAGAGAGAGAGAGAGAGAGAGAGGCGGTGAAAACTAGAGTCTTTATAAGGAAGAGAAACAGAAACAGGTGGGACTCTGTTCTCGCTCACAGCCCCAGAAAATAGCAAATAGAGCTGAAAACGAATCTGACGGTATTTCCTTCCGGAATCTGAAGATATTTTATACGAGGAATGTATGTTTTTGGTACCGACTAAATCCAAGAAACCTAATTCCCCGTATAGTACTATGAAAAAAATAGAATAATAAAAAATAAAAAATAAAAAAAAATATAAAACATTATATTCGGTAATAAAAGAAAATAAAAATAATAAAAAATTAGATGGATTATCTTTCATTTCGATCTACTAAAATCCAATGTACATCTAAACTCAAATTCATATACCAATTAATAAAATTATATTATGTATTAACACTGCGTGTGTTTATATATTAGAGTGTGTATTTTTTATTTTTTAAAGAAAAATCAAATAAAAAATAGATGTATTTTTATGTGATTTATGTTTGTGAAAAAACATGATGCATGTATTATAGTGACATAGTATATAATATATATAGTAATCTCAACTGTATGTATAAAATAGGAAAGTATGTATGTATATTATTTTCATTCTTTTATTTTGTCATCAATATCAATCACACAAAAATTAATTATTTTTATTTTCTATCCATTATACTATTTTTTTTGGAGGACATCCTTCTTACCGAACGAAGTTATTGTTATTGATATATAATTTAAGGATATAATTTGGAGACTTAATACATTGTAAGGACATATCCAATTATAATTCAAATTTTTACTCAAATTTAAATTAATATTTGAGTAAAAAATTTAATTTGATACAAAAGATTTCAATTGACAAACTCAAATTTAAAGAAGAAGAAAACCCAAATTTAAATGAGGGTAAACTCAAATTTAAAAAATAATAAAGATGACCATTATATCTTTGTAAGGGGATAAAATCTCACTATTAAAGATTTAGGTAAATATTTAAATCTCCCTTGATTTGATATAAGTTTGAGTCAAATGTTGAAGTAAGTTTTTTTACTTAAATTTAAATTTAAATTTGAGTAAAATGTGAAGGTGCTCTAAATATTAGATTAATAGTAGAGTCGATCCAAAGAGCCATTGACAATTCAATGGGCACAAATCATTAAGTCCCCAATTATATCTTAATAACATTGCTTGTCTCATATTTACCTCCTCCATTATGAATGTTATTTTTCAATTGACTCATAAATTTTTAATTATCATAATTTTTTTAAAAATTATATATTTTTGTTTTAGTCAATCATTTCTATTAAGATAAATTAATTAAGTATTTCATAGGTTGAGTAATTTTAATAGGAAAAATTAAGGGTTAATTACAAAATTCCCCATTTAATTTTGGGTAGCCCTTTAATCTCAACAAATAACACCCTTTAAGTTTGAATATTTTATAATTAACTCCAACAATTAATTTTCAATCACAAAAAATGACATAAATTAAACTTGAAAAATTCAAGTGATCTCTACTTTGTTGAAAAAGCACAATTACACCTGAAAGGAGTGTGATTATGTGTGCGCGCGCACGCGTGTGTGTTGGGTGGAGGTTGCAGTGAAGGTGAAGGCAAACATTGTATTGTGTAGTATGTATATATTGGGCTGAATAGATGTATTTCTTCTTGACTTTTTCGTTTCCTTATTTTTAGGAATAGAATTAGTATCTCAAAAAATATATATATAAAAAATAATATACAAGATAGAGGGTGTAATGATACTTTTTTATTCTAAGTTTTTAACCATTGATATCGGTCAATTTAATCTACTTAAAACTTCGAGAGGATAAATTACAACATTTAAAATCATAGAGAGCCTGCATAGTTTGAGGGGCAAATTATAATTAATCCAAAACTTAATTGAACTAAATTACATTATTAAAGGTATAAAATTAAATTGGGACAAGTAAAATAAAAATTATAAAGGTAGCAAGAATATTTATGAGATTTTTCCTTTGTTATTTTTTGTTGCCATGATTGCTCTGTCCCCTTGGTTTGGTGGGGTGGCCATAGTTAGGTTTGGGCCTCTATGCCCTATGCTACTAATCAGTGTGGTGGTAAAAATCCACCTATTAAGCTAGGTTTTAGGTGCTCCATTTAGTCCTGGGTTTGAACTAAAACTTTGGATTTGGAGTGAGAAGTCATACCAACATTTTTTGTTTTTATTTTTTTGGTAAAACCGACCACATGTTCACATCCGGGGACTTTTTAGGTGTTAGGTTTAACCTGAAGCCTTTTATTTTCACCATCATCATCTCATTTTTATGTTTATTATCACTACCATCATCACCCACTGCTGCCACCAACATTCGCCACCCCTTTACCATCGCTACTACCACCCACCATTATTTGTCGCAGCTGCCCATCACCACCACCCTCTAAGGCTATCACCAGATTGGAATTTGGTCTGTCCAAATCCGAATCTGATAAAAAATTTGAGTTTCAAATGCAATCCGTTTATCTTATGAATTTCAAAATTTTAATCTATATCCGCACTCGTTAACAATCCGATATCTAATTTGATTATCTAACTTGATTTAAACATTTGAATCCTAACAAAATTCATACAAAATTAATAATTGTATCAAATTTAAGTTAAATTTCAACCTAATTTAATCAAACAATCATTCTATTTAATAATTTATGTTTAATTTCATGTCAATCTCATTAATAATCTAACTAAGTATATACAATAATTTCTTTCAATTAAATATATATATATATATATATATATATATATATTATCTGGCTTATATTCTTCATGTAGCATTCAAATTGAATGACTCTATGAAATTACGCCGATACTTCCACATATTATGGGTAAAGTAGGAGACATCTCTATTTTTCCCTTGAAAATCTTTAGAATTACCACTGCTTAGCTTTCAACTCGTCTCTGACCATCAAATGAAATGTGAATAACCCGTCCTCCTCTCTTTGAAAGAAGGAGTGCTTTCCGATTCTGTAGGTGCTTGAAACAATTTTGTCTTCTCCATATCACTATATCTCTAAAGTCAATAATTTTATATGAGGAACTACTGAACTCAATCACTTGCTGCCATTACTCTTTAGTTTTTTGTTGAGGTCTATCCTATAGAAGTACTCAAATTAGATCAGTGATCAATTTCTAGGTTTTGTCGTAAACCTAATTGGTTATTTCCAATTACGTAAATCAATAGTTCAAACCGCACTCAAAGGTAGGGCATTTCCCATTTTTATAGGAACTTCTGTACC